TGAACGTTTCGCCGTGTAATTATAATCCGAATAAATCTGCTGAAGAAGCTGTGGCTTACACGGCGAAACGTTCAGAAAAATCTTGTTTTGATTTTCTTAACACACTGGGATCAATTTAAATAATTTATAATGTATGTGTTGTATACATACAATGGTTTGAAATTGTTTGGTACAGTTATGTGTTGTTCTTGTTGTTGTTTTTGATGTTGCTGATTTCTTCTGTACAATTAGCAAAAATAAAATATGTAAATATTAATTACTTTAACGTAAATGATGGTAAACAAAAGAAGAAACTATGTTTACGTACACTCTATGACCTTCAATTTGTTTTATTGCAATTCATAGTAGAATCATCATCATCAGACATGGGAAATCTTTTCCCTAATTGATATATACACTAACCAACCAACCAACCAACCAACTGACTGACTGACTGACTGACTAAAAAGCAAATAAATAAACAGAAATAAGTAATAAATGGGAAAATACAATATCACAAATATACACACATGAGACTCTGTACATCATATAAATAAATGTTACTCTGGTAATTGCCTGAGTTAATGCAATATATATATATATATATATATATATATATATATATATATATATATATATATATATATATATATATATATATATATATATATATATATATATCAGATAATGATATGCAATTAGGCAGGATTCCAGTGTGTACGTACACCTTACGAATCCTTTTGACTTATTAAATCTATCTGATATGTATTCATACATATACATATTACTGGGGGAAAAAAGAAGGAAAATAAAAACCAACCGTATCTGAACTGTCATTATACCAAACCTACATGTCGACTAATAAGTTTACTTGAAAACAAAACAAAAAAACACTCTATTTATATATACATACAGCTATATGTAATATCTTATCTACACTCACTACTGAATTAAGTCAACCTACTCTCTTCTGATAATTAACGAAGAAAATCAATACAGATTTAAAAGGTAGAAATGGATAGAATAAATTGATTTTACAAGGATAACACGTAAATTAAAGATGAAGTGGTCAAAATAAATAATTTAGACAATTATAATTTTTATGGGTTTAGGGGGAGGGGGGCGACGTAGTCCTGTTTATGCATTCTTGTGACGATGGCCACGGTAGGGAAATTGGATGTACAGATTTTTTCTGTACACATAGGCTGGGTTTCTTCAGGTGAATTCCGATGGCTTCAGCCGTTGTCTGTAGAAGACGAACTCGCAGAGCAGAATTCGGGATGCGATAAAAAAATTTTAAATGCAGTATTCATCACATCAATCTTATGCTCAGTATCAATGAGGTGGGCTAAAATAGAACTACGAATAGATCTTTTTTGTCCCTTGCTTAACCGCTATGCAAAACGATGTTTAGAAATACGACGATGAACTTGCCTAATTGTATGCCCAATGTACTTGGCTCCGCAGCTGCAGTCAAACTGGTAGATACACATAGAAGAGGCGAATTTAGGTAGTTTATTCTTATTTCTCGAACATAAAATAGGGGTGGTTGTGAAGAGAGACAACGTATCTCTACTGCATAATAAGCTCTTTTAACTGCATTCTTCAGTCGTTGTGTTATTATTTCGCTGATGTTGTCACCAAGGAACTGCAATTTTATGAACATTGGTTTCTTTTCGGAACTGTACCCATACTGACTCTCCTAGGTGCTGCTGAATTCATATTTTTCTCAATGAATTTATCTGGATGACCATTTTTTTTAATAATCTTAAGCTCCTCATTGAGGCAGTCGTCTGAACAGATTAACCTCGCTCTGGAAAGGTATACACATCTGTATGTGTGTGTGTCATTGGATGCATTTGTGAATATGTGAGAGTATATGGTGCGTTTAGAGTTTTATACTGTAAAAAGTATCAGCTTAAAATACCTCATGTATTCAAACATCACATCACACAAGATAAGGTCACTCACATCTATCCACAAAATTATTTGAATAGATATATACAACAATATAAAAGATCGATGATGATATACTGCTTAAGAGATAGATAGATAGGTATATAGATAGATGGATAGATAATATTGATTGCCAATTTAGAAAATTTTCAAATTTCCAAAGAAATTAATAGCCTGAAATAAATTTCAATTTGAATTTAAATATGAATTTTGAGTTCTTTGTCATTTAAATCATTGAGATAAAGAGAGATGTGTGATTCATTGACTGACATACTTGTTTGTGGTGTTCTTTTAATTAAAATAGAAGCAGAAAATAGAACAAAACCGCTTTTTTTTACAAAAAAAATCTGACACGCACAGGCATACACATAAAAGTAAAAATTTGACATAAAATGAATGTCTACTTTTCATGCTTGGTGTAAAAATTCTTTCAGTGGTGAAAATAATTTATGCTATCTATATATTAATTAAGGATACTTCTTCGTTTTCTCTAATGAGAATAAATTGAGACAGTCATCATTGCTGATGGTATATACTGAATAAATTAGCCAACTCGATTAGATTATCGGATTGGTCACGAACTTAATTTAATAGTTGGAGGAACTATTGAGAACTAGGGAATTCTGGTTCCTCGTAATTGAAGTCACTTCATGACTTATCTTGAAGTTATCTAACTGACTACTAATAGATTGAAGTAAAAGTGTTTATTTAAGAAGAGAAGTTAGAATTCATGCACTGACCATTGAATCGGGTCCCAGTGGCTTAGTGGTATACAAGCCAGCTTGTCTTGTAACCGGAAGGTCCTGAGTTCGAACCCGGGCGTTGTGGTGGATGCGTCCTGCCGATAATTCCCAAACTAGGCGGATGAAACAGTAGCTGTCCAGTACTCCCTGTGTGTTTTCAATGGTTCTCTAACTTATATCAATCCGTAATCAACTGGTAAAAACACAACTAACCCTTACAAACCGAACTATAGAAAAAGAGAAAATCAGTCTTATCTGTTACTAGTTTTATTGATTCATGCACATAAATTTAGGGTCAATGATTGCACACAGCTCGTAATGGAATTTCATTATGACAGTTTTCTTCAGAAACTAAAATTATTCAGATTACAGTGTGCGCTGTCTACTTGATACGGTAAATGTCAATAAAGAAAGCAATCATAGATTTCATACAACCGGTTCCCTTTATTAGTTTGAAGAGAGAAAGAATGAACATAATTGCAGGATAATACCAGCTCGTTTTATTTCGTGGATACTCATCAACTGCATGCATCTTTTTCATAATTACTTGGAGTTATAAATAGAAGGTATAAGGAACATAATTTCAGAATTTGATGTAGGTAGACATAGATGACTGAGTATACTACTGAATGATTGACATGAGTAGTTGAATACCATTCACATCAAACAACAGTGTTTACTGACCAGATGGAAGAAATCGTTTTTAGATGGAGGCTATCAAACGTGTACTCGGTTTGATAATTTCAAACCACCTGAACTCTGGTTAGCTACTTGGGTGAACTGGTAATGTATCCAATTTGCAAGTTTATTCGTGATTAACGGTTGGCTGAAACTGATCCATCTCTTTGAGCTGAGTGAAATCGAATACACTACTAAACAGGACAGTCACAAATCGCAGAAGCTGCTCTCTGATGTTTAAATCCCTTCAGTTTGTCTGGCAAACACTAGTGATCAGTGTTTGAGGTGTTCGACTGTTTATATGGGCCAATCAGCAGTGCATAGTGTGATGTTTTGTAAAAAGAGTCAATAATTCCAAAAAAGACAGTGCAGTAAACAACTTTTATGTTGGTGATTCAAATGAGAGTTAGTTGCCCAGATGTAGTACGTTAATTTAATCTCTCTCGGCTTCTACTCAACAATTCATGTGTTTAAATCCCACCACGTGTGAAGCTTAGCAGCTAACCAGATAGGTTGATAAAGTTCTCAGTTTTAATTACATGCGTGAGGATGTCCAGTCTGAATAACATGATTCGGAATCAACTTCGGGGACTCGGAGTACTGTTCGTCTCACATCCATTGGCCTACTTCGTATTTGGTAGTTTCTTCCAACTGGTAATTAATACCGCATCATTGTGTTCCTTGCCTAAATCATTTGTTTACTTTTTTTTTAATTAAAGCTTGATTCCACACTGTAATTTTCAGAATGGATATCGGTAGCTCAAATTTTACAGGCCGACCATAGATATCAGGTGTTCGTCGGCAGGGAATCGAACCTCAGACCAGGAGCATGGTCGGCGAGAGTCCTAACCACTGTGCTACCGACGCCGCACAATCTAACCAGAGATTAGGAAGAGTTACCATTCAATATATATAAGCTAATAACTAAACTTTTACACCACAAAACTCAACTTTGATAGAATGTGCACACGCAGACATTGTTGTCGTGATCTACAAAATGGTTCAAAAGCAATACAAAATAACTGTTTTATTTTCCTAAGCTTTTTCTGAGTCTCTAAACAATTTCAGTGAATTTATAAACCATACTCCTACCTGGTCTAAACAGGGTTTAAATCGCACATTGATATTAGTTAAAGAAAGGATGGAAAATACGAACAGTAAGTAGTAATTAGTTTCTTCTGAGCTATACACTCCACAAACAGGTATATTTGTGCGAGATTGAGATCCCTTAGGATTTTTATTTCTTTCCTATGGAAAACTATATTTGTACTTGTACCTTTCCACTGGAAATATCTTCACTCAGTGGGATAAAGTTACATCCAGATGATGAATTCCAGATGAGACGAAACACGTGTTTTGTATTCTACTGTTAACCATCACCAAATAAGTAAATTCCGCATTAAATTTGTCGTGGTAGACTATTTAAAATGTACTTGTCCTGGGTTCGAACCCTGGAGGTGGTTGCATACTGATGAAGAGTCCCAAACTAGGCTGACCAAACAGCTATCCCGTACTCCAAGTTGGTTTTCCAATGGTTCTCTAGCTGATGTCACCTCATGATAAAATTCTGTCCAGAGTCAAACAAATCCCTACAAATCAATACTTGAATATGTTTTTCCTCTTCTATTATTGATTACATTTCAGTGAAAATATTTATGATACCCACAATTAATATGATTCTCCTATGTGAACATTCAGAAAGAAATAAAACAAAGAAAATGTATGTATATTTTGTATCTGATTTATGGAACTGCATTGAGTGGCGATCCTAACAACAGATACTGCTACACACCCTCACATACACACATGTTCACAATATAATATTTTGTTTATTCTGTTATAGCTTATTTATTTCATTGTAGTTACAATTTCATATTGCGTAGAATTGAATGTTTTAAGGTGTACTAATATGACTTACCTAATTAACTGAGTGATTGATTGATTGGCTGACTGATCGATTAATTGATTCACGAAAATTCCGATAAATTAAAAGGAAATCACTGAAAATTAAAACGCAAAAAAAATCAAAAACAAGGACAACAGTTTGTACTAATCGGGAATAGAGATAATAAGTATTGGACTAGATTATTATGAATGAAGAGTTTTGATTACCTAATTTTGTCTCTTTGCCTGTTTCTTTAATTGATCATAATTCTTGTATATTACGTGATTTCGTATTCTCTACTTTCTTCCTGTGTGTATCTTGAGTACAACTCATTGATATTACTACATAACTCCTTTTTAACAACTGTTTGTAACAACTCATCACCTTTGTTACTCCAGTGGTTTCATTACACACCCTATTTTCTTGACCGTTTTTGTGTTACATAACTCCACCCGCAACTTAATAATTTTGACTGTTTAGTTAAAATAATCACAACCAATTGTATTTTTGTTTGACAAACTTAATGTCTACATGCATATAAAATGAGTCATACATATATTTGCGATTGTACAGGTGGGTGAATGAATCCTCCAAGAAGAGACTCTTCTCTGAACAATGTGTTTTGTTTTCATTAACTCCTGGATGGGGATTATTCGTGAATTAATACTCTCTCAAATACAGACTATGATAGAAGACGAGATAGAGTGTGTGTGTGTGCAAAAAATAATATAACAGGAAGAAAATCAATCGACGGGGCTTACCCACAAATCTCTTATAGACAGACATTTTGTTTACAAGCAAAAACAAGTGGTAAATGATATGCTATATATAGGAATAAATTTAATGTATTACCTCTTTATAATGATTAGTCACTAAGGTGTGTAATCAGTGTGACTTTTCTAGTATTTAGTGTTACTGCCGTCAGTCGGGTAAGCGTTGATATAAACTTTGGGCTTACAGACATTCGTCAGCTAGGCTGGTATGCCTTCTAACTGATACAGACCAGTTTCATTATTCAATGCTCCAACTGAGCTGTTCTACATCACGACCGACTTCATTTGGTACCATGATTCAACGACGTAACATCAATCATAAGGTCAATTTGAAATTTCTTTACTTAACCGAAAATTGCTTTTCGACTGGGTTGGCATATTCAGACGCATCGTTATACTCTTGAGTGAACGATACTTCTTATATCGTAATAACACGATAGTATTGAAACGAAGCTTATGTTTAACTTACCGATTCACTTCACTGTCTTTTCGGTACAATCGGATATCAACAAGTTGTTAGTTATTTCATCGTCTCACGATATCAAAACTTCCAAACAAGGGTGTAGCCAACGTCTAGATATAGCCCGTGTGATGATGGTTGTGCTGACTGAATTTCATCAGTCAAGTTTGAAATGTGGTCACTAGACTAGATGACTCACTATCATTATATACTTTGAACTGATTTCAGATGGTTGAAAGAAATCCTCAAGATACCTTAGAACCAGATTTCGTGGTTGTTGGCACTCATCTCAAAAAGACGTGCTTTCACTCTTAAAGGATGTGATATCCCTTCTGAGATTCAAATTCACGTCAAGGGTATAGGTAGACGTCCTGGTGACGAGTGCCAACCAGTACGATACTTAGGTCCATTGTCTCTTGACAACTGCCAATGATCATCTCACAGATTTGATTTTGTCTTGATTCTAATGTAAATATCCATTACTGAATAACTTTGCATAAAATTTAGAAATGTACACTTTTTGTAAGTTGAAGTTTTTACAGAATTAATATTTTAATATTTCATTTATCGACCTTTTCTTTTCTTTAAATGCCAAACATTTAATCAAAACGAAATCAAATCTTATTTGATAAATAGTGATTCAAATAGTTTGCGTATGTGTGTGTGTGTGCAAAGAACATTGTGCTTTCATTATCTTAGAATTTTCAAGTATTGGTTTGTAGGGATTTTGTTTGATTGGTTGGACGATTTCATCATGAGCTGACATCGGTTAGAGAACCATTTAAAAACCACATGGGAGTACTGGCCAACTGTTCGGTGAGCCTAGTTTGGGACCCACCTACCGGGTTTCGAACCTATGACCACATTTTTACAGGGGGAGCTCGTAGACCATTAGGACACTTGTTTTTACAATTGTCTACTTGTTTTCACCTGTTCTTTCAAGTAAAGGGGTGTAGGGTCCTCTCTTTCTCTTCGTCACTTCCCTTCTCTTTCATTCTCTCAACCTGTCATTGAGCAGCAAAAGTTATTGACCATTCATTTAGGAATTTCTCTAGGTTAATTAATATCCAGGATATTTGAGTTCTCAAGATTTTATATTCTTTCATCATTACCTACTGTCGAATATCCAGATCTCAAAGATCCTGGACCTATCGCTTGTTTCAGGAGACTGAGCCTGTAACAACAGAAGACAAGGGCCAGGCAACAGATCGTTTATAAAGGAAACCAACACATATTTATAGATTTTCATACAAATTATTATAGATTATTTAAGCAAACAAACACAGCCTTCTGATTGGTGGTTTCTCACTGAACGTTAATCTTTCATCTCTTTGTAGCCATTTATTGAAGTTCAGATTATCTATCTACAAATTGTATCCGCCCACTCAAAGTCTGCTATGACTGGTTTTTGTTTCAGTCTTTGTTCATATTTTTCTCACGACCAATTTCGGGGATGTAGACATTGAAGTTAAATTACTGTCTACCGATTTGGCTAGCAGCCAGCTCTCACCACAAGCCTAATGTTATGCACTATAACCAAAGCAGAACAATTTTAATTTTTTTTTAATTTTTGAGTACAGCTTGATTTCATACTGTAATTTTGGTAAAGGTATGGAGTTTTCAGAATGGATATCGTTAGCCTAAATTTTGCAGGCCGACCATAGATATCAAGTGTTCGTCGGCAAGGAATCGAACCTCAGACCCAATGCATGGTCGGCGAAAGTCCTAACCACTGAGCCACTGACAACAGTAAACTGGCTATAAATTCTAACTTCAAATCCTACAAACTAACACTTAACAATTTAGGTGATGCTCACTGGAGACTGATAACAGGATAAAGTTATCTGGAGTCCTAGTGAGCAATCATGATCAGTGCGGGGGGGGGAGTCCACTAGGTCAGATGTGAAGACGAATACTCATCGACGATACTGACAGACGATGGTGTTAAAAATCGTGAAATTTCGTCCATCAAACCATCATTATTATGATTAGTATCATTAGCTCAAACATATTTAGACTGGAATTACAAGTTGATACAAAAAATCTATACACATGGTTATGTTAGCATATATATATATATATATATATATATATATATATATATATATATATTGTATATGTGTATAACAGATTTGCTATCTTTTCTAAACCATCATTTTAGAAACTGTCAGTGTTATAATAAATAAACAAAACTTTTTTTAGTATATGTTGGTGAATTGATTTAGATTTGATTTTTTTAAAACTCTTTTGTGGATAGTTTTTATCTTACAGTACCTGTCATATATATTACTGAATGACTTACACCCTTCTGACTGCTGTTTGTTAACCACACATGATATATGCCTGTCAAATCTCCTACCAATAAATATATATCACGTAATATTTTACAGAAAAAAGAGAGAAAGATAGAGAAGAAGAAGAGAGGAACGAAGATATTAATTCCAACCAAGATGATTAATCAATATTTATGATCTTCTTGCGTGTGTGGTTTGCGATACTTTTTTTGTTGAAAATTTTTACTTCTGTTACAAAAAAGAAACAATCAAAAAAATTTAGGAAAACTTTTATTCTGAGTAAAGTTAAAAAAGAAACTACTTTCGGCAAAGTTAAAGTATCATAGGCAAAACCACAATGACCTTGAACAACCAATCAGAATTCAGATGCGAAGAAGTCGCAAAATCGTTGAAAAATACAGTAAAGCAAATATTGCAAACTTGATACTACACTGTATAGTTGTAGCTTATGTGTTGTAAGAATATTTCCTAGGTCAAAACACAGATGATCAATAGAGAAGTTGTACCATGTGTGCGATATACCCATTCATTCAGTTGACTGTAGGTCATGGTACTTTGAGTCCGACTGATATTTCAGACAGTATTCTCGAACCAGTATTCTCCTAACTTTAACCCTAAACCTTAATCTTAAACTCCGTGACCCTACCTAATACTATAGATTTACAGAAAAAGCCCCTAGTAAACAATTAAAATACTGTGTCTACCCTTTCCTGGTTCAAAAAGACAGGCATAATCTGATTTCAAATGACATTTCATAGCATTCCCCGTATCTGATCGGTTTTGAAGGTCAACTCTTGAAGGGCCATGACTGTGACCATGATAATTTAACTTCGCCCTACTTTCATTTTAGTGATCTGATTGTCAGTCAGTCAGAATATTCAAAAGGATGGCTTCAGTTTAAAAATCCCCTTAAGGTTTCAGAATGTTTTTACTCCATGAGATCCAAACGGCGTTGAATATCACTATAGTAACCTTAAAGCTAGTGATCCGAATCACTGTCAGATTTTGGCTTATAGCTAACCAGCATTCCATATTTCATTTCAAATGACTCATCAAACCAAAGATTCATGAATAATTCATCACTTTTTTTAGTTTAGACAAGTGAACGGTTTCATAAATGAAAATAGTAAGTAAAACTGAGTAGATTTCCACATATATCTCACAGATCAACCATTTTAATGACATTTGGTACAACTTTTCAATTTATAAAGTTCAGATGTAGCGCTTTTGATTAGTTTAAAGGCAGCTTTTATGATAATTTGACCTCAGTTAGAGAACTTCTGCTGACCGAACAGTGGTTTCTCTCTTGGATTCACGAACCCAATAACAGTCAAACACACACACACACCCTGGACCATCA